GCTGAGCTGGGAGCCCCCCCCGGGGGGGGGGGAGGGGGGGGAGGTGGGCGTGCCGGGGCCTGGGGGCCCGGAGGCCAGTGTGTCTGAGCCCACGTGTGTGGGCATGAGTGCTCCAGCCACTGCTCCCACCCCCGCACCGGGAGCCTCCCTTGCAGACAAGTTAGGGCTCCGATTCAGTCCCTGGTCTGTCCTTTCGTTTGTCAGGCTGGCCTCTGAGGTTTGGGGGAAGGGAGGAGGCAGAGGGGCCTGGGTCCCGCGAGCGAGGCACGCCCGACCACACAAGTGCGGAGACCCGGTGGAGGGTCGCGGAGTCCTGCTCAGGACTCCCTTCCTCGTGGAAGCAACTTCCAGGTCTGGGCCCACAGACAAACCTTTGTGGAGAGCCTCTGCCCCCCAGGCCCCCCAGCCCCAGCTCTGCCCACAGCATGGCCTCCCTCCTGTTTGCCCCCAGCCCCGCCCTGGGAACCCCAGAATCCTGCCGGATCCTGCTGCTTATTCCCTCCAGGGGCTGGGAGGTGAGGGTGTCAGGGTGTCAGAGGCCTCTGACACCCTGGGCACGCGGACCGCCACCCTGAGTGCCGTTTGCGCTGAGGGGGGGATCTGCCCCAGGACCTAGAATGCGCCCAGCCCACTGTCCTTTCGGCGCTCTGGAGACGGGGCCAAAATTCAAGTCCCTGGGGGTGGTTGGAGCCAGGATCGCTGCCCCTTCTCCTGCCTGGTCAAGGCCATCTCCACCTTCCATCTGCGTCCCTGGGGAGACCTCACCGACCTCCGGCTAGGTGACTCTCCGGGGTGGGGTTTGAGTGGGGGGTGGGGGGTGCACCCCAAGACTCACTGATGCCAGGGCTTTATTCTGCACGTGCTGGGGCCGTGGGGGTCTTAAAAATGGAATGATGGGATTGAGTGTGAGCGATAATTACGTAAAATTATACACGTTTGATTCTAGATGGACTGCATGTCTATGGTAGGAGATACAAACTGCAGACGACTAGAAAGAATTCTGCCCTCCAAACAAGCACTCTTCGTAATTTGAGATCTTTTCTTCCAGGTGGTTTTTTTGTTTGTTTGTTTAACTAGTTGTGACCTGGAATTATAAAGGGTTCTGCATCCTGCCTCTTTTTTTTTTTATTCTTATGTTAATCCCCATACATTACATCATTAGTTTTAGATAAAGTGTTCCATGATTCATTGTTTGCGTATAACACCCAGTGCTCCATGCAGAATGTGCCCTCCTCAATACCCACCACCAGGCTAACCCATCCATGTCTTTCTCTGTTTGACTTATTTCGCTCAACATTGCATCCTGCCTCTTGGTTTGCAACTTTATCGAGGTAGAACTGAAACAGAGTAAACTGTGCATGGTCTTTTTTTTTTTTTTAAGAAAGAAAAAGTCTGTGAGAGAGTTTGAGTGCAGTGGGGGGAGGGGCAGGGGGAGAGAGAATCTCAAACAGACTCTGTGCCGAGCGTGGAACCCGACGTGGGGCTCGATCTCATGACCTGAGCCGAAATCAAGAGTCGGACGCTCAAGCAACTGCGCCACCCAGGTGCTCCTAAACTGTGCATGTTTGAAGTATGCCCTTTGAGAGACCTCATGCATGTGTTTGGGGGACCCCCGAGCCTGTGGCCCCACAGTCACGTAACCGACGCCTCGCGCCCAAACGTGTCCTCGAGGCCTTGCTGCTTCGAACTTAGAGTTAGAAGCGTGACGTTGAGCTTTCCTGGTTTAAAACTTCTTCAATTCTCTTTTTATGGTTTCCTTTGCAGATATACCAGTGTTTTTTGTAATCCTTCCTTTTTTGGGGGACCGTTTGGGCTGTTTTTTGTTATAAACGTCACCGCAACGACCATCTGTGGGAGACATGCTTCCGTCTGCACTGGTAACGCACTCATTCCTGGGTTCGCTTTTGTTCTGGGTTTGTGCGTCCTCCGGTCAGTCTCTTGGTGTAAATTCCCAGACGAGGAATCACTCGGCCAACGGGAGGGCCGACCCCAAGGGGCAGCTCTGTGGACAGCTCTCCCGCTTTCCCGTTGCTGCTGGGATGCGCGCACAGGGGACCTGGCGGCGGGCTCTGGAGCGCGGGCTGCGGCTGGGGACGCCCTCCCTCTGGAAGCCGACGAGGCGTTTCGGGTCGCGCTCGTTTGATTATGGACGAGGCTGAACCTCTTCTTGTGGGCTTTGCTTAGTTGGCTTGTTTATGATGTGGGGGGTGTCTTAAGGTGCTTTTCTTATTTTTTGCTGATTGTGGGCCCTCTGTAGTCAGGACACCAGTCTTTTGATCTCTGTTCTATAAATCCTTTTTCTTGGTGTGCTATTTGCCTTTCATCTGGGGCTTGTGTGGAACACACGTTTTTATGGAGCCAAACCCATCGATATTTTGTGATTCCCTCCATTGCTTTGAGCGTAAACATTCTTCTCCAGGAACCTGCTGTCTACCTGTTCTCCTCCGTGCTGCTATAATTTGACTTCACCATCCGTCTGAGGTTACCCGGTGTGTGGTGGAGCTGCTGACCCCTGCATAGCCCCTCACTCCCGCCTGGCCAGCCTGGCTCTCGGCGGCTCATTCAGCCCCTGGCGTCCCGCGTCTTCCTGGTGACACCGAGTCACTTTTAATGATCGCAAATTTCTCACGTGTGATCAGCTCCAGGCTAGGGCTCGCCCTCTGCTCAGTTTGGCTTCCTTCACCTGAGTAGAGCTTCATTCCCATAGGGTCACGGGACAGGTGCTTGGAGAGGGAGCGGGGAGGGGATGATCCCGTCATGTGACAGCCCCGCCCGGACGCGGCTTACCTGATGGCAAACACAAGTCACATTTTCCTTTTACGGGAGGCCCAGCCCGGCACCTGGTTCTGTTCTGAACTGTGCCCCCCACCCTTCTCCCACCCAGCTCCCCGGAGACGCTCCGTCCCCTTCGCAACCTGGAAGGGAGAGCTCGGTTCACAGCAGGTGCCCAGTAAGTGTGAGGTGCTGTACCTAAACGTGGCCGTGCGGCTTCACAGAATGCTGCACCTCCTTCAGAAATGACCAGCTGGCCGCAGCGCTTGGGCCACCTGGCCGGGGAGGAGGCGTCCCATTCTGGCATGGACAGTGGCTGCCGGGCCTGCGCCGTCCCCGTCACGGTCCACGTGGGGGATGCAAGCAAGACAGGGTCCCCTGCTGGAAATCGTCCCCACGCAAGCGCAGCCGCGGGGGCGGGACCTGGGACGGAGGGCGGCTGGGAACGCTGGGTGGTTCTGGGTGGTTCTGCTGGGCCGAGTGAGGACCCGGTTCGCGGTGGGGGGGACGCTGGGGAGCACTGGTGCGGAGGCAGCTCCCCACCCGATGCCTGCAGCGCGCTCCTTAGCTTTTGCTGTTACTTCTCACGTGTGTTTAATTTCACAAACGTGTTGGCGTTTACAACTTGTGTTTTCGCACAAAGGAGCTGCACTCTGGTCCCTTCTGTGTGGATTCCCCTGATTCCAGCAGAAGCCTAATAACAATGGAAAAGAACCCTTCTTATGCCTGAAGTGTGACCCACCCGGGCTGTGAGGCTCTGGGGTGGCAGGGGTGAGCTCTAGTTGCTGCTTCCAGGAAGCCCCCATGGGGTTTTCCTCCAGAACCCCCCGGCCCAGCCCCCTGCCTCCTACAGCTGCCCCCGGGGCTACAGTGGGTTTGGGCCCACTTAAAGGGGTTTGGGCCCAGGGTGCCTGAGGCTGAGGCTGGAGGCCAAGGGCAGAGGCCAAGGGGGGAGGCTAAGGCTGGAGGCTGAGGGCAGAGACTGAGGCTGGAGGCCGAGGGCAGAGGCTTAGGCTGGAGGCCAAGGGCAGAGGCTGAGGGTGGAAGCTGAGGCTGCAGGACAAGGGCAGAGGCTGAGAGTGGAGGCTGAGGCTGGAGGCCAAGG